AATAAATTTTTTCAAATTAAATTTTTGATAAAATTTCTTTTTTTTTTTTGCAAATTAATTAAACTTTTTGAAAACTATTTAAAAGAATTATGGCATTTTTAAAATGTTTGAGTTATATTTTCAAGAAAGATTCCAAATTCAAAAAAAAGAATAAAAAATTCTATAATTTTTCGAATAAAGAATGTAAAATGAATCTTTCGAGAAAAGTTGCGGAAGACATTTTTAAAAACGCTTTGGAATTATTATTCGGACAGATAATATATATTTTAAAGAGAGAGAGAGAAGATGTTAAAATATTTGATACAAGTTTTTTTTTTAAATAGGGATTAAAGTTATTTATATCGAAAGAAATAACAAAATGACAAATAACGAAAAGACTGTTTCGGTGCATTAGCAAAAAAGCGAAATTGCAAAAATAATCTTTCGAACAATAAGTTCGAAAGCAGACAGTCGCTCTAAGTTTATCACATGACGCTTCGTCTATTTTGTCTCAAATTTGTGCTCTATCTTTTAGACTCTCGTCTCTTCAAGAACAAAATTTTTTATTTATTTATTTTTTTATTTTAATTTTTTTTTTAAATTTACTTTAATCAGAATTCCACTCTTAATGCGGATAATTTTTTTTTTAATTTCTCGACATTCTTTTATTACGAATGAACACAATCAACCAATTGAATCACTTTTGTTAATAAATTGGTTGATTATTTATTTTTATTTTTTAATAATAAGTTCAAAGGGACCCAGTTTAAAAGTGCCAAAAATTATTTGATTTCACCAATGTCCGTGGAATTAAACGCTAGTAATTTAAAAATTTAAAGAAAAAAAATTTTTTTTTTTAAATATTTTTTTATCGAACTTTCCATAACAAATAGTTAGTAATTAATTTTCTCATCCGATTATCAAATTATTTTATTTCTCTTCTCTTAAATTTTATTTTTAAATTCAATAATTTGTTTCATTTTTCTTTTTATTCTATTTTTTAATTTTAATTTCATTTCATATCGATTCTATTTTAATTTTCTTTTCAATTTCATTCCAATTTCATTATAGTTTCATTAAAAATTTTCAATTCTTGAATTTAAGCAGAAATTCTCATTTTCTAATTAGCAAACTTCTCTGTGTGCGATTTTATATTGATTGGAGTAATCAAAGAATGAACTACGAGGGGTTTTGAAGAAATGAAAAGACAGAAATTAGCGTTCCGTTACCGTCTCATTTTATTTATTTATTTTTTTTTCCTTTTTTTTTAATTATTGTTCTCTTTCAACAGACGTTGGTGAAATCGTCGTGTGCAAAAAGAAAAAACGCATTGCACGTTTTTCTTTGCACAATATTAACTTCGGTGATTATAATAATACAAAATATATTTTATTAAAATTTAATATCGTTAATTGTCGTGTTATATATATAATTATAATTTTTATATATATTTAATATATATATATATTATATATGATTTTAATATAACTAACGAAAACTCCTTGAAACTTGGCGTCTGTTTTTATATATATTTATAATAGAAATTATAACATTTTACGGAATTAATTTTATTTGACAAAAAAAATTTTTTTTTAATCCGACAAATAGGGAGAATTAAAATTGATTGACCGCCATCAAGATTAATTTCCAAAAATCGGACAAATTGGATAATTGTCTGGCCTAAATAGACATATTTACACAAAAGGCCGAACATATTTTTGTTATTTTTTTTTTCCAAGAGGGAATTTTTTTTTTAACACTGACGCCAAGTGTGTCAAGGAATTATCGTATGAAAAATTTTTTTTTCACGTTCCAAATTCACAAAAATTTTTTTCATTAACATCTAAATTTTCAGTTCTAGAAAGCGCGTCTACTCTATATACCTATAAAGTGGTTTTTTTTTAATAATTATTTTTTTAAAACCTCCTTTCGCACTTAAAAAGTGTAAACCTTTAAAAAATACACGAACGCCCACATTGCGATTCGTGCTCGTCGATGACAATTTTTTTTTTTCGGGGACAGGGGGAAATAAATAATCAATTAAAAAATATATCATTAAAAAGTAGGTACTAGAGGGGGTTTTTGTAGGATCATTTTATATCCTCGACGAGATTAATAATACATCACGTAATTTTATTTGCCTCGAGTTCTCCTTTTCTATAATTTTTTTTCCTTTTCCCAAAAAATTTACTTTTTTTTCATTTATTTCTAAAATAACGAAAAAATTTTTTCGGATATATATACAATCCAGTCTATATACAATATAGACTTGTTTTTTTATTAATAAAATCACTCTCATTCATTCATTCACGATTGCCGCAAGAAAATTGCCACATTCGTCGGCTTAGAGCCTTACAAATATTTTTTTTTTAAGAGAGAGAGAAAAAAAATTTTTATAATTTTCTTTTTCATCTCGTTTTTTTTTTAACTATATGAGATCAAATGACTAACGAAGAAGCCGCCCGAGAATCGCGAATTCAATCGAGCATCTATCAAAAAGTTTTATTATCACAAATCACTATGAGCGAAGCGCAATAAATTAACTAATAAATAAATCTCAAGTTATAGAGGTTACAATGAATTTTTTTTTTACCTTTTTATATAATATTATTTTAAGTTTTTTATTCGATACAAGTAGATAAATATTCTAGAAAAATTCACTTGATGCATTTCTTCGAAATTTTTTTTCGATGACAATATAAATTTTGGGGAGAGAAATTTCATCCCCCGGATTAAAATAACTGTTGAGTGGGAAGAAATTTCTCTGGAGGTTTTTTTTTTAGTTTTTTTTTTTGCAAAAATTGTCCCTCGAAGAAATAGGATCTTAAAACATCGAGAGAATTTGGTGCGACCGACACGATCGGCTCCTTCGTCCCTCGGTACTTCGAGAGGGCCCCTTATACTAATTCGTATAGTATATATATTCTTTTTTTACACAATATATTATTTTAATATGTTCTCAGTTTGTTCTCCCATTTACTTCAAGTTTTCTTAAATATATTTTTTATATATGTATATGTAAGTATATATACATATATAATATATATATATATTTATTTATTTATATTAAAAATCGCAGACCAGCCTCTGAATTCGATTATAATCAATATATTGTCAAATGACAATGAAATGAGATGCTTTTTTATTTTATTTTTTTTCAGCTATTCGGTAACTTTGCCAGAGAAAATGAATTTTTTTTTTGTAAAAAAATTTCGATCCTCCTGGTTTTTAAGGAGTGATAGAAAAAGAGGTTTTATGGTTTTTTTTTATCGAAAGGAGTATCGAAATTCGACGAGACAACAGACACATGTATGAGGACTAGACTGGCCGAAGTTTTTTTCTAGCATTTTTTTTGGGGGTTTTGAAATTTTTCAGTCAATTATTGATGTAATTTTATTGTAAATAAAAAAATATTTTTTTTTTCAATATAATTTTAATTTTTAATTTTAAACTAGTAATAGAAATTTTCAGTTCTGTAATAAAAGAATGTTTCAATTAAATTTAATTTTGAATCTAAAATTATTTTATAACCAATAAACAAATTTTAGATTCATGTTTCAATTAAATTTTGAATCTAAAATTATTTTTTAACCAATAAAAATAAAATTTTCGATTCATGTTTCAATTAAATTTAATTTTGAATCTAAAATTATTTTTTAACCAATAAACAAATTTTAGATTCATTAATGAGAAAATTAACTAATATTCGATAAATTGAGGTTTGATTTTCAAAAAAAAGGAAATTCGTCTTTTAGAAAATCAAACATTAGAATGAATTTGAAAAAATTGAAAATAGAATTTTTTCACTACCTTGAAAATGATTTTATTTATTTTATCTACTTTAAGTAGAATTTTTTTTTTACATATTATAAGTTATGAAAATTTTTCTTTCATTCAGATTTAGAGAATTTTTTTTTTAAATGCTTAACTTTTTAAATTAAAGAAGTTTTAAAGCAAAACTTTTTCGTTTCAAGTTTTAAAAAAAAGGAAATAAAAATTGATCTAAATTGGTAAATCAATTCTATTCATTTACCAATTTAGGTAAAGTTTTTAAACACTTAATTCAAAAATATTTTAAATTTTTAAATTAAATAAGTTTTAACGAAACTTTTTCGATTCAAGTTTCAACAAAATGTAAGTAAATAAAAATTGATCTAAATTGGTAAAACAATTTTTATTCATTAACCAATTTATGTAAAGTTTTTAAACACTTAATTCAAAAATATTTTAAATTAAACAAGTTTTAAAGAAAAAGTTTTTCGATTCAAGATTTAACAAAATGTAAGTAAATAAAAATTGATCTAAATTGGTAAATCAATTTTTACTTATTTATTAATTTAGGTAAATTTTTCAAAGACTTAATTTTAAAATATTTTAAATTTTTAAATTAAATAAGTTTTAAAGAAAAACTTTTTCGATTCAAGTTTGAACAAAATGTAAGTAAATAAATATTGATCTAAATTGGTAAATCAATTTTTATTCATTTACCAATTTAGATAAATTTTTTAAACACTTAATTCAAAAATATTTTTAAATTAAAAAAAAAAATTAAAAACTTTTTTTCTTTTGTTTTAAAGCAAAAATATTCCAATTCAAGTTTTAACAAAATATAATGGAAATAAAAATTTATCTAAATTGTTAAATCAATTTTTATTCATTTACAAATTTAGGTAAATTTTTTAAACACTTAATTCAAAAATATTTTAAATATTTTTATATTACTTAACAATTTATATATTAATTTAAATTTAATTAAATAAATAAATTTAGAATCTTTCGATTTTCATTAAATAGAAAGTTTAAATTAAATAAAGCTTTTCATTTCACAGAAAATATATTTTTAGTTTTTCTCTAAATATGAATTAGTCATTTGTGTTTTTACTATACTAATTTGTAGTAGAAAAATGACTACTAATTTGTAGTAAAAAATGATTACTAAATAGAAAATTACTACAAAGTTTACTGCCTTGAAACTAATTTAAATATTACGTCAATAATTGCCTTTTTTAAATCTTGTATTCTTAAATTAAAAATTTAAGAAAAAGTTTTAAAGTTTTTTAGCTTTAAATTTTTTTTTTTTTTTTTTTTTTTTTTTTTAATTAAAAAAAATGCTAGAAATATTTTGTGGTCCATACTCGTGTTATGGACGGAGTCTCGTCAAAAATTCCCTCTTTTCATAAAAATAAAGAGTAAAATACAGTACATTCGACAAAAAAAAAAAAAAAAGAGGCGAGAACGAAAAATCAAAGACATGTGTTTTCGTTTCGAAAAAAAAAACGAACTCGAGATTGACGAGGATCGTTATTATATTATAAGCCTGCGCATTATTGCGCATCGGTCACACACTCGCTCTTCGTCATGCACTCCGCGACTGATGTACACTCTCTTTCGTTTTTCTTCTCCCATCAAGGTTGGAGAAATTTTTTTTTTCTTTTTTCTTTTTATAATAATAAACGTACATATGTATAGTGCTCGCACACGTATTTTGTAGACATGTAGAAAATGGAAAAAACATGTATTCATCTACACACAGTGGTTTCATTATTATTTGTATTATTATTTTCATTATTATTTTTAATTATCATTAATATTAATATTAATTATTATTTTGTTTTGCGTCGAGTTAACCAATGAACCGTTAAAATAGGGTTCATGTACTTAAAAACTAGGTGTGAATTTCTTCTTCTTTTTCAATTAATTATTTAACGACACTATCTGGCAAAAAAAAGAAATGTAGCGCCAATTGCTATTTTCGCTTTGGTCAGCCAGTCGGCGAATTATTCTTCTTTTTTTTAGATCCAAAATTCACGGAACAGATCCCCAACTATAAGCGTCAGTCAGTTCTCTTATTGGTCCTACTTTTGCACACAAAGTCAGCCATTGATTTTTCACTCTTGTCGTCTCATTTTTCTTCAGGAGAAACCTCTTTTTTTTTTTTTTTATTGGTCTTACTTCCCTTTGGTCTTCTTTTTTATTCTTCGGCTTCCTTTCATTTCCCTTTGTTGTAAGTTGCGAACTTGGCTCTTGAAAATGTCAAGGCTTATTGTTATAGGATTTCGACAATTCCCTACAATTTGGTGATTTTTCGTTTCAATTTTTTTTTTTTATGGATTTTCTCTTGTAAGATGGGAAGAGTTTTCCTTTCTTTTCTGATATTCGAATTTTTGAGTTTGGTGAATTTGTGGATTGTTTCCAAATTTTCTTCAATGAGAGAGTGAAAGAGAGGGGAAGGGAGAGAAAGAAGCTTGTAAAAAGTAGGCCGAGGGAAGATTAATTATAGAGAAGGGAAATTCAGAGGTCCCATTCCTCGTGGCTGCCTTTGCAGAGAGTCCAGCAACCCGAAGATGTCGAACGAACGCTGCTACGGTGACCGTTGTTGTTGTCGATCGTGAGATTGTCAGCGCCATAGAATACGATTGTTGTTAATTCGTTGACATCAGCGGGCTGCTGGATTCCCTATACTCAAATATTTGACGAATTCGTTTGTTTGAATTCACTTTTAGGCGTTGAGAATCGTTTACTGTCGTCTAAAGGTGAAGGCGAGGCACCGCCGTCTTCTGGCCTCGTCACTGGCACCGGAACACCATTATTCACAAAGTGCGTCAATCTCGTTGGCAATGAGCCGGAATTCAATTGATAGAACTCAATTAATTGCAGGAGATCGTAAAATTTCGTCGCACCTTTGTCCAATGTGTACAGCACGCACTGACGCTCATTATCGAACACCTGAATTACCTGCAACAAGGGATCATTCATTTTTTCAGTTCATTTCTTATTTTACTCTTCTTTTCAATTTTTTTACTTTTCTATACTTAAAGCAAGTTTTTTAAATAAGCCAATAAAAATATTCCTTGAAAAAAATTTGTTTCATTAATTTTATTAATTTTATTAATGAATTTTAGTTTTATTAATTTTATTCTGCCAAATTGTTACTTCACTGAATTATTATTATTCATCAAAATTTCCATTTAGAAAAATAAAACAAAAACTCGCAACAATTCGCGCGAGGATAACTTTTTTCTCACTTTTTTAAAAATAAAATTAGCAATTTTAAAAATAATAGAACGTAAAAATTTTTAATTCAAATTTATTTTCATAAAAATATGAATTATAATATAGTTTTAATATTATTATAACTATATCATATATTCTGACACAGGGAATTCAGAGAAAATTTCGGGATTTTTATTAAAAGTATTAATATTGAAAAAAAATTAAATTTTTATAATTCATAAGAAAATTCTGAATTTTTGTGTCTTTTTCGTTTCATAAATAAGTGAACTTTAGACGGTTTCAATTGGAAATTTTAGAAAATTTAAATTTTAAATGAATTTAATTAGAAATTTTAAAGAACTTACATTTTTGAAAAATTTCAATAATTCAAAATCGTCTAAAATTAGTTAAATTTGTCAAAGAGTTATAGAAGAATTTTAGTTAAAAACAGTAAAAAAAACATTGAATTTTAAAGAAGCTACAAATGATTGCAGAAATTCAATTACTTTTAAAAAAAATAAAATTCTTTTTATAAAATTCAACTATGTTCAAAATATGAAAAAAATTCTTGTAAAAATCCCAATTATCTTTATAAATAATAAAATTCTTTTTCAAAATTTAATTATTTTCAAAAATTGAAATAAAATTCTTGTCAAAATTTCAATTATTTTCAAAAATTTTCCTTATTTCAATTATTTTCAATATCTACTATTTTAATAAAATTTCCAAAAAAAAAATCAATTATTTAAAAACAATTTTAATAAAATTGTAAGCAAACATGTATTTATTTTCATAAATAATAAAAATTTAACAGGAATTCTATTCTTTTCAAATATTTTATAAATTTCTTCGCAATAATTCAAATATTTACATAAATAATAAATTTGTTTAAGGAATTCAATTACTTTCGTAAATAATAAAGCTCATCGCAGAATTTTAATTATTTTTAGTACAATTTTAATCAAATTCCTCGAAAAATGTAATTATTCTTAAAAATTTCATTAAAATTCGTCAAATGAATTCAATTATTTAAAAATATGTTACAAATAATAAAATTCTTCATCAAAATTCAATTATTTTTAAAAATTTTAATAAAATTCTCGGCAAAATTTCACAGGAATTCAATTATTTAAAAATTAAAATACGAAATTTCATAAAATTTTTCGAAAATTATCAATTATTTAAAAAGATTTTTGAAAGATTCGTCGCAAGAATTCAATTTTTTGACAAAATTCAACAAAGTTCTTTTCAAGAATTTAATTATTTTTATAAATAATAAAATTCTTCACCGAAATTCAATTATTTCTGTAAACTTGAATAAAATTTTTATAATTGAATTAAAATAAATGAAAATATTTTTTAAGAAATTACAGTAACAATATTCTTAATATAAAATAATGATAAATAATACTTTTAAAAGTTGTTTAATATCAAAAATGTTTAAATTTTAATTTATTCCTATATTTTCTAAAAATTTAAAAATTTTCAATTAAAATTTACAATTGACAAATAGAATTTATAAACATTTTTTTCCTTTATTTTAAAAAAAACTAAAGATCAGTTAAAAATGATTGAAATTTCAGTCATTTTTCACATCGAAAAAAAAATATTTTCAATTATTTTTAATACAATTTTAATTAAATTTCTTGTAAAATGTAAAGTAGGAAAAATTTTATTAAAATTCGTCAAAAGAATTCAATTATTTAAAAATTTGGTAATAAAATTCTGTATAAGCATTAAATTTTAAGAAATATTCAATTATATAATTTACTTTTGTATTTAAAATATTTAAATAATTGAATCCTCATAGAATTTTGTAATAAAAATTGATTTAAAAATGAATTTCAGTAAAAATTTTAGATAATAATAATATGAAAATAATTTTGAAGAAGCTAGAGTAACAATTATAATATTTTTAAAGTTGTTTAATTTCAAAAAGGTTTGAATTCGAAATTTTTGGAAATCTTAATTTCTTGGGAGAAATAATAATAATAAAATATTTATTTAAAACAGAAGTTATTGATGTTTTCGAATAATTTTGCAATTAAAGAAATTTGTAAATAAATGTAACAGGACATTTTTTTCAGTAAAATTTTTTCCTTTGTTTTCTAAAAATTCAAAAATTTTCAATTACAGTTTCAATTAAAATTTTTAATTGACAAATAGAATTTATAAACATTTTTTCCCTTTATTTAAAAAAAAATTTAATTTTTATTACTGCAATATTCTAATTAACGAAATGATGCAAATTATTTTCTTATGAAAATTGAGAATTTTCTAGGAAAGTATTAAAAAACGGGGATTTTTTTTTTAATTTTCTATTTTTTATAAATAAAAAAGGAGAAAAATTTGTATAATTTTGATCAGTCAAACGAAATTTGTTATAGAAAAAATATAATAAACAAAATTATTATATTTTTCATTTGTTAATCATAATTTTTTTTAATTAATATAGTTAATAATTCCCCTCATTGTTTCTCAAAATTTTCGAAATTTCGAATTTTTTCTTTTTAATTTTTTGAAATAAAGAAATATACTTACAGGTTGAATTTGTGCGTGAAAAACCTTGTCTCCGTATTTGTAGGTCAGAACGTAGGATCCTGGATTACTTTTACTTTCTCTGACAAGGAATACGCTGTAATGAAAAAAAATTGAATTATTAAATAATAATTTACAGAATCTCTCGAATTCGATTCTTTTAATAGCTTTTAAATTTAATAAACGCAGTAATAAATTAGTAAGGTAATTAATTAAGGAACGATGATATTTCTTTTTTTTTTTTTTTTAATGTGAAGAAGTATATAGGGAATTGGAAATGATATATGCGAGACGAGAAATAATAAAATTGAAACGAGTCAAAAAGTCGTAAATTTCGTTCAATGAAGCGAAAACACGTCCGTAATAAGTGCAGAGCCTCCTTTTACACTGACGATTACACCTCGAACTTTTAATTAACCCCAATAATAATTAATTGACTCTGTATCCGATCTCTTCAATGTTCCCTTCGTTTATATGTTTTAAATATGCATTTCAAAATGAATTTCAAAATTTAAAATCAGATTTTTTAATCAATTTTAATCGAGATTTTAATTTTATTACCGATCCGAAATGGTTTTTTTTAAATTTAATTTTCTGCATTTTTTTATCTAATTTCAAGTTTTTTTCTTCTAATAAATTCAATTTTTCTCAAGATTTTTTCATTTTTTTATTCTTATTTATATATTTTAAAAAAATTTATTTATTTATTTTTTTTATTTTTTATTTATTTATGTATTTTATTTTTTTTTTAATTTTTTTATTTATTTGTTAGAAACTTTCTATTTATTTATTTATTATATTCTCCCTTTAATGTTTGCTCTATTTATAACTTTGTAAGAGAAGAAATTCTGGAATAACGAAAAGAAAAATTGAAGTTGAAATTAAATTTTTTTTTCGCGTGTGTAAAAGTAGAAAAGTTTAGTTCTTTTCGCAAGTAAAGGGACATTTACCCATCAACTGAGCCACGATCCCTGATGATAGCGGCAGCAATTTCCCTCTTGAGATCTCCGTGAAACCAGGGTTGAGATGTGTGAATACCATTATCCACATGAATTCTGGTCATGTTAGAACCAGGAGATCTTCGTGAAAACGGTCGCCACCTACGTTTCCAAATGACTCCCTCACTCTCGGCAATATCCTTTGCCTCCTTTGGATCCTCAACTATCCTACCAACGCTTCCCGTAAAATCCATCGCCACCCTCGACCGAATTGATTCCTGCAACAAATGACAATTCCCCCAAAAAAAATTAGTTTCACAATCTTTATTAATATAAATAAAATATTTTGTGAAATTTTAGAAAAAACGACAAAAAAGAGGCATTAAATTGTAAAAGTTGTAAAAAATAATAATAAATAATAGATAATTTTTTCTACTTAAAAAATTTAAGTCAAAAAGTAATTCTAAAAATCGAAAAAAGTTACATTTCCTGAAAAAAGTCGAAAAAAGTCGAAAAAATCGCACAATCCGAGGCCAAACATATAAATTGAAAAGAAATTTACAACCTTAAAAAGAATCAATGACATTTTCAAGATTATATTTGTTTTACGAAAACAAGAAAAAACACAATTTTTTTTCAGTGCGTAAATTTAAGAAACCGTGGAATTAGATAGCGCGCTTGATTTACAATGATTGTGAATCGTAAATTTCTCGACAGTTTGAATCGAGAAAATAGGTTTAGGATCGATTAAAATTTTATTTGCACGAAAGTCGAGTATTTCTTTCTCAAAGGAAGAAAAAAAGAGCAGAAAGTGGATGGTATTACATATTTATAAATATATAAGTTTTTGAAAATGGGAGTGGTGCACTAAGCGCTATAATTATCACACGGGAAAAATTGTGTATGTAAAAAATAATTTTTACTCATGTTAATATTGTAAAAATAATTTATTACCGACAATAGAAATTGCATATATATAGTATAAGTCCAAAGGTTCATGGGTCACTAAGCATCTCACATTAATGTGACAAGATGTACACGTGAAGCATTTATACACGTAACGGTGAATTAATAATACGACGATACAATGGGTTGTAAATCATTAAAGTACACATTTCGTTTCTGCAATTGTGTAACTTAACGACTTTTTTTTTAACTCTGTAAATTTTTTTTTTTTTACAAAATTTATCTTTGATTAAGTAAAATTCATCATGAAAGTGAACATGCAGAAATAATTTCTGAAGAAACTTATATCTTTTCCCATGGAAAAAAAGTTTAGAAATAATAATAAAAATAGTGAAAAAAAAATAATAAAATATTTTTAAAAAATGTTAATAATAATACACTCACAAAACAGTCAACAGCAAAAGACAATTCAACTATTTTTATAAATATTAAATTCTTTGCAGGAATTAAATTATTTTTAAGCAAATTTAACAGCATGTGACTGTTACAGAAATCAATGTTAATTTTTTCGACCACTTTTCTCTTAAAATATTAAATAAATTAAGCTAGTTTTTTGTGAATAACTCTAAAATATCATAAAGAAGAGCAGTGATGTGCAAAAGTTTTAATAATTCTAAAATAAATTATAAAAAAATACTTTGAAATCGGAAAAGACGAGAAATTGATTAAAAGTGATTTTGAGAACTGATAATTTTAAAGTTATTTTTTAATAAATAATTTTAAAAATATTAAAACTTTTTCACATCACTGCCCTTCTTTATGATATTTTAGAGTTATTCACAAAAAACTAGCTTAATTTATTTAATATTTTAAGAGAAAAGTGGTCGAAAAAATTAACATTGAATTCTGTAACAATCACATGCTGTTAAATAAAATTACATGAAAGAATTTAATTATTTTCAAAAATTTCCATAAAATTCCATTTCAACAAGAATTTAAAATTCTCTAAAACTAATTCAATAAATCTCAAAATATTTTTAAAAATTCTATATAAAAGTTAAATTACTTTCAATGCAATTTTTAAATATATTCGTCAAAGAAATTGAATGAATTCAATTATTTTGAATATATATTTAATTTTAATAAAATTCTTTAAAGAATTTTAATAATTTTCGAAACAACTTTAATTGAATTTCTCGAAAAATTTCATTACCTTCAAATATTTCCATAAAATTCTTCATAACAATTTAATTATTTCTTAAAATTTTAATAAATTCTTCGAAACATATCAATTGTTTTTGTAAATAGTAAAATTCTTCGCAATAATTCAATTATTTTTATAAATAGGAAAATTCTTTGGAGGAATTCAATTATTTCCAAAACCATTTTAACTGAATTTTTCGGATAAATTCAAATATTTTTAAATATTTCCAAAAATTTCAATTATGTCCTAAAATTTTAATAAATTCTTCGAAACAATTAAACTATTTTTATAAATAGTCAAATTCTTTGCAAGATTTCAATTATTTTCAATTCACTTTTAATAACATTCTTCTTCATCAAATTCAATTGCTTTCTAAATTTCCAATTAAAATTATTAAAGAAACTCCATTAGTTTAAAAAAAAATTCAAAAAAATTCTTCAAAAGAATTTAATTAGGATTTTTAAAAATTCTAATAAAATTCTTTACGAGAATTCAGTTATTTTCCTGAATAATAAAATTCTTTGTAGGAATTAAATTATTTTTAATCAAATTTCAATAAAATTACATGAAAGAATTTTATTATTTTCAAAATTTCTTTAAATTCAATTTCAACAAGAATTTAAAATTCTTTAAAAATAATTCAATTATTCTCAAAATATTTAAAAAAAATTCTATATAAAAGTTAAATTACCTTCAATGCAATTTTTAAATATATTCGTCAAAAAAATTGAAAGAATTCAATTATTTTCAAAAAAAAAAATACTAAAATTCTTGTAATGAATTAAATTATTTTAAATAATATACTTAATTTTAATCAAATTCTTTAAAAAAAGTTAATAATTTTCGAAACAACTTTAATTGAATTTCTCTAAAAAATTTCATTATTTTCAAATATTTCCATAAAATTCTTCACAACAATTTAATTATTTCTTAAAATTTTAATAAATTCTTCGAAACATTTCAATTATTTTTATAAATAATAAAATTCATCGCAATAATTCAATTATTTTTATAAATAGTAAAATTCTTTAGAGGAATTCAATTATTTTCAAAGCAATTTTAACTGAATTCCTCGGATGAATTCAAATATTTTAAAATATTTCCATAAATTTAAATTATTTCATAAAATTTTAATAAATTCTTCGAAACAATTCAACTATTTTTATAAATAGTAAAATTCTTCGCAAAAATTAAATTGTTTTCAATCCAATGTTAATAAAATTCTTTATAAAATTCAGTTGCTTTCAAAATTTTTAATTAAAATTATTAAAGAAACTCCATTAGTTTGAAAAAAAAATTGAAAGAAATTCTTCAAAAGAATTTAATTAGAATTTTTAAAAATATTAATAAAATTCTTTGCGAGAATTCAGTTTTTTTCCTAAATAATAAAATTCTTGGAAGGAATTCTATTATTAGCAAGTTTTTTGATAAAATTCTTTGCAACAATTCGATGATTTTCAATACATTAATTTTAAAAATGAAAATATTTGAAAAGAAAAATTATAAAATAGTTAAGAAACAAAAAAGCAAACAACAACTAACTTCAAACTGCGAACAGATTACCGGAACATGTATTTTATTATTAATAATTAATTAATTATTGTTATAATAATTGTTATTTTATAATTCATTCAAAATTGTAATGATAAATAAAAATTATCAGAATTTTTTTCACTTCTTTTCATTGAAAGATATTAAAATTTTGTTAAATATTATGTTTTGTCAAATTGAAATTATGCAGATTTTTGTTCTTTACTCTTAATGAAAATTAGAAAATTGTTAATCAACTGTGATTAAGAAATAGAAAATTTATTTATTCTGCATTATTTTTCTTTATGAATCACAATTTTTTTAACAAAATTATTATTTTCTTTTAGAATAAGAAGAAAAATATTTGCACATAATTTTTATTTTTAATCTTTATTTTTGGAACAGGATATTCCACAGGAATTAAGACATTCAAAAATTTCAAATTCAAACCTTTTTTTAAATTAAACAACTTATAAAATTATTGTTATAATTTATAAAACATGAAGATATCGATTGCTCCGAGTCGAATACTCGGAGTGATCGATTTCTTTATGTTTTCTAATAATAATTTAAGATCACCGAGTGATAAAATCAGTATTTTTTATTATATAAGAAACTTGTTACTGTAACATCTTAAAAATTATTTTCATCATTTCAATTATTATTTTCTAGAATTAAAATTATTTTTCATGATGAAAATAATTGAATTCCTTAAAAAAAATTTTATTTTCCTACAGAAAAATAATAATAATTAAAATATTTATTTAAAAAAAAGAAGTTTTTGTTGTTTTCGAATAATTTTACAAATTAGAGAAATTCGTAAATAAATGTAATAGAACATTTTTTTTTTTGAGTATGTAATAATTTTTAGAATGAATCGCAGAATATTCTTTAGGGCCCAGGGAAAAAGTGAAAATTTTGTCTGGAAAGTGAGGGAAAAATAAAATTAAATATTTGTGGCTTTCTTCTCTTCTTGTAATGTTTCTAAGAAAAATGTAAAATTTCTTTTTATTGCGACAAAAGAGTTGGATATTTTTCCCAATGATTTTTTTTTTTCGCTAGTGTCTACATCGCCTCAAGGACTCGAGATTAAAACCTGGATTAAGCTAAGTCTTTTAGAAAGCGACGAGCTGACGAAGCTTCCGTCCACTACTATCCTCTCTCTCTCTCTCGCTCTCTCTCTCTATGTATATAGCAATAGATTTTCTGAAATATTCAGGTCGAAAGCTTCAAGCGCGATGGGAGCTTTTCAGGAAGATAGCTATGATGACGACGACGACGAGGAGGAGACAGACGAAGTAATCGAGTTTAATCGCGACGATGCTTGAAACCCAAGTCGTCGTCGTCGTCGTCGACGTATTTGTCGTCATCGTCATGGTAGCGTCGTTTCTGAACGTGGCCTAAAGCGATTGCAAGGCTTTAATAGTAATCCTCTTCTCTTAGACAACCCGCCAATCCTTTTTGCTTCTACACTCTCGCACTAGAAAACGAATTGTCGATTCGATATACCCTATCACTAACGTGTGTTAAGGGGGTAAGAGAGGGGCGGTTGGGAATCCCATTCTCTAACTGAGGAAAATTGCAAATTGCACCCTCGCTAATCGAGCATTCTCTCTCTCTCTCTCTCTCTCCTCAATT